GAGGCCGGAAATCGTTCACGGCGTCGTCGGCGACCGCCCGCCGCCTTCGCGCCGGGAATCGAAGGCGAACCGCACGTTCGGTTCAGGGGACGATCGGTAATGGGTGCTTTACTGGTTTCCGTTTGGTGACACAAGTTGTCGTTCTATCTTCGTTCACTTCCCGAATGTCAGAAAGATAGAATGATGTTTATGTCGATATTTGTGTCAATAAATGGAAAGCGGCCAACGAATTCTTCCCCTTCCCTATCCCCGGAAAAATTGTCAGGCCTGTTCCTCTCGGTCGAACCCGCATGGCTCGTCTTTGAGGGAAGAGGAGAAAAGATGAATCATGCAAGAAGTCGAGCGATTCGAGACGGTCCGAGATCGGTAAACTGAGTCTGCGGCACCGGCGGGGATCGGTGCCTCGAGTGTCACGTTTTTCTCGCGGCGAGTCCGCGTCTCGGGGAGGACATAACTTCCCTCCGAGGGAAACGGGCGTTGTTTCGTCCTCTCGTTATCTCCTCGTGATTTTCCCAAGCGAGCGAGACAACGCGCGAGTGCGAGCGAGATCGCCCGGCTCGCTCTCCTCGCTTCCAAGTTCCACACCGGGCAACTAGCGTTTCCTCTTACGGTCACGGCCCGCCCGAGCCGCTCGCGACAGCTCGCGATATACGCGACGACAGGAGTTTCCTCGCGGACTGCCGTCGTTTTCGTCGAGGATTCGGGGAGGAAACGACTAAACGTCAGGCGGATCACGCCGGGCGGTGTAGACCGATCCTTCGTCTCTCTTTCTCTCTCTCTCTCTCTCTCTTTTCCTCTGTTTTCGTCCTTCCCGTTTTTCGCACGTGGATAGACGAGGAGATGCGGTTGCACTGTAATTGGGTACTAACGAGCACATCTGTAGGAATATCTTGCGGAGTTTCCTGCGTGACTAATGCGACGAAGAAATAAATCGCTTGGAGGTAGATCGTCGGGGACAAAGGCGAGGTTCTTTTCGGCCGTAGTTCCTTGCACTCCCTTTCTTCCTCTCTCGGTGTTTAAAATATAAAATAGACGCGTGCTCTCACGGAATATCTGACTAGGGGAGTAGGAGGAAACGTGAGTGACTGTACGGAAATGCAGGAAAATATGAGAGAAAAGTAGAAAAATTAAGTCCGATTAATTCAATCTTTCTCTTGTCTATATTTTTTTCTCATTTATCTTTGTTTCTGTTTATAGAGAAAATGAGTCTGATTGTATGATAATAATTGAAATGTTGGTAGATTCAATTATAAAAATATACATAGTTGAATCTATCAAATATTCTAGTTGATGTAATCAAAAATTCAGTTACGATAACTAGAATTCTGACTAGTATGATCGGAATGCGTTTTGTTTGTACTTCTTGTTGGTACAAACGCTAGAAACAGAGTCTGGTTGCGTTAATTGGAACTTTGATTGAAAATAAGCAAACAGAACGTTCTGTCCATTTTCAACCGGACATTTTTCTCAGTGTGTAATATATATTTTCTTTCCATGACATACCGGAAAAGAGCCTGGTTGCATTAATTGGAATTAATTGGTTGAAAATAAATCAGAGATTTTCTGGCTGATTCTATTGTAATTTTAATTGAAAATAACTAGAATAAACAGGATTCTGATTGATCAGAATTTCTAATTCGCCCAGTTTTAATCAGAAATTTTTCCCATTGCAGAAGAAATCAAATAAACTCGAGCTCAAATTACCTTTTTACAATCTACCAGTTGTTAAGCTCAATTGAAAAATTTGTCTATTAGGATTCTGTCGGGAGCATAAAAACGATCGCTGCATCCGTTCGATGCATCAACTTGAAGTTATAGGGTCTTTTAAATCTGAGCGTTGACACGAATCTCGTCAATTTAAACCCGTAACGCGGTGACGGGAGAAAAGAATAGGGATTAATCATTTTAATATCGAAGAGAATGGGGGAGAGAGTCGAATGCAAGGGAAGCAATGCACTAGAGAGAGAGAGGTTGTATCCTCTATTCTCATCGCGAATCGCGGATCATGTAAAACTGGAGCTTAGGAGTAAAATCGAAAATCGCTCTTCGACGCGCAGAGCTTTGGAGTTTTTAAGCTGCACAGCCTTGATCCACTCTTTCTCTTTACGCTGTATTTTTTTTTTATAGAAGACAATTTTGATGATTGATCCATGGCCTTTTCAACAAAGATCACGGAGAACCGCATGGCGTGTTCTAATCTGTAGTCGACTCACGTGAGTCATCCGCGTCGCGCAGGAAGTGGCTTCTGGGAAGAAAGAATGTCGACATAATGCTGATCGGATATTCTTACTTGTTGTATGTGAGAGATTCTGTTTAAACATCGACCGAAAAAAGAAGGAATATTTTTTGTTTATAATCTTTCTGTAACAAATAACGTGGACAAAGGACGATTATTTATGAACAAACTGCGAGCAATCGAATGTCGTTTATGTAATATATATTTTCTTTCTGTGTCAGAAAAAATCAAATAAAGATAGCTCCAGATGACATGAACAATGTAGACCAACTTTGCACACATTCACTAAATATTGACCTACATTTATATGGATAATTAAACATATTATGTGTCTAATATTTGTTAATATTGTCGTACATTGGCTATATTATCTGGAACCGCCTTTAATTACTTCCTGATGCTCGTTTCTACCACACTGAAAAAAATGTTTCGTTAAAAATGGATAAACCAGAAAATTTTGATTACATTAATCAGAATTCTATTTATCTCAACTAAAATTTTAATAGATTTAACCAGAAAATTCTAGTTGATTTCATCAGAATCTTCTAATTTATTCATTTTCAACCAAACATTTTTCTTAATACAATGTAGTTTAATTTTAATCTCGGTTTAATTAACTCTTCACCTTTTCTAATTCTTAGAATTAGAAAAAGATGAAGAGTTAGTTGATCCGAGATTAAAGTTGACCTTTACCGTACAAGACCAGGTCATTAATGATCGAGCAAATAATTCCTGTTTGTTCAAAT